GCGCAAAGAATTCTGGACTTCAATGCAGATGCGTTTTCTACATGACCGTAGGACTGGATAATAAAATCCACAGTGTATGCAAATCGTTGATTTCCACAGTTCGACATCACTTCATCTCCGTTTGCGGCGAAGAGAATGTCATTACTTGTATGTTGGGCGTAAAGCCAGGTTATCATGGTCCACAATTGGTTGGTAAAAAGCTCTGCTGCTGCTGCTGTTTGCTACTGCAGTTTGGTGCTCCCTTCTATTACCGTTGTTGTATACCGTATGTTGTTGTATTTTTCACGCGACTGCATGCTGCATCTCGTCGCACTGTGAGGTGGAAAATTTGAAATTTTGGCTCGAACTTCATTCGTGATAGCCCCAGTCCCGTCAGGTACAATAGGCAGCGGAGTACAGACTAGTGCAAATACTAGCTACATAGTGCTAAAAAAAGACAAGTCAATCGATATCACAGATTTGGTAACACTAAAGGAGGTAAATGTGAACTCTCGTATGCTCTATACATCATGTTATCAGTCTAGTAGCCTATATTTCTAATTCGCGCTTTCCCACCAGATTAGCATTCTCTGCCACACAATCCTCCAGTCACCGCATCATCGCTCGACTCACTCATTCCTTCCATGTTGCTCTTTGTCAAAGGCAGTACACTCTTGGGGACACTTCGCGAAATTCATCAAACCGATGGTTATATTGGCTTACGACGTCATCTCGGTCTTCCTCTTTCACTGCAACTTGTGGTGGTGGCTTTGAAATAGTCACATTCTTTTCAAAGCCACGTGGCACCTTGTTCACAGTGGCTAGATCTGCAAAAGGATGTTGCCCAGGAGTAATGACTTGAAGAAGGGGGGAAACTAATTGTTTTGGGTTCGCGTATACCGCTTGAATTTGCTTCGCAGTTGGAAGTAAAGACTTCATGGTGGTAGTGGGACTTGATTCAGAAAGCGCCACCGTTTGCTTTTGTCGCGCTTGCAACGATTTCTTCGTCTCGTCAATTTCCATCTTCACCAAACCACTGCGAAGATGCTTTTGTCCTGAGTCGTTGCATCTCATTGGCAGAACTGCATCAGGCGGAGTCAATGAATCATTGGTCGGTTTCGAAAGGAGTTTGACGATTTCTCGAGCTTGAGTGAGGGCAGCTCGTGGAAAAGGACATT